GCTACAGGTACCCAAACAAGGTGATACCCAGCTGCACCAAGTGGGTTGCAAGGGTCCTGAAGTGTGCAACTCCCTGAACCCTAAACCCTAAACCCTAAACCCTAAACCCTAAACCCTATGAAGCCAACAAGAAGCCTTTCAACCCTACTTACACTTAGCCCAAGCCACCCAACCCTCCGGAACTGCTGTCTGCCGCTATTTCCAGCCCCAGCCTCCTCAAACCCTATTCCCAAAACCCCATGGGGCTTAGGGTCTTTAGGCTTGGAGGAGAGGCCCTGAACCCTAAACAATAAGTTCAACCCTGAAAGCCCTTAAGCCCTCAACCCTGAGACCCTGAACACCTTAAACCCCAAACCCTAAACCCCAAACCCTAAACCCTAAACCCTAAACCCTAAACCCTAACCCCCAGGATTGCGAATCCCCACGTCCGACTGCAGCGCACTGGCGACGTGCTCACGATGCGTCGCCAGGGTCCTGAGCAGACCGAGGAGCACCAGGCCAAAGGATGGGGATTTAGGGTTTAGGGTTTAGGGTTTAGGGTTAGGGTTCAGGGCAGTAGGGGTTTACGATATTAGGGGGGTACCCTTATTGGGGTCCTGATTATAAGGGGATCCTACTATTTGGGGGGTCTAGTGTAGGGGTCCCCTGTTTTCAGAAACCCGCGCATAGGTTTCAGGCTTGTCCCCATCTAAGGTTTGGGGTTTGGGCTTAAGTTTGCGCGGGGTTGAGGCTCCATGGCGTTTCCTACGCAGTTGGGGTTCCAAAGCCTTCAGCCCAAAGCGTTCCCGGCGCCCTCGGTGCTTAAAGGATTCGGGCTTTAGGGTTTAGGGTGTAGGGTGTAGTGTTCCCAGCCAGGAGCTGGTGGCTACAGGGTCCCAAAATGAATGTATAGGACTCATTCTTTCAACTACCCATCCACTTCAAAGTAGATGGAAAAATGAAAACCTAAGCCCGAAGCCCTTCTGGTTTCCAAGATGTTTGAGGCACTGACGCCCCCAAAGAAACCTGACGCGGAGTTTGCAGGCCGTTCGGTTGAAGCTTCCCGCCGCCCTGCAAGATCAGCTAATGACGGCCAATCCCAGAGACTCTCGGCTGGGGTGTACGGGCTCGGAGTTCACGGGGTTTAGGATTTGTTTTTTGGCTTTATCCTAACGCCTGCAACCTTAAAATCCTAAGCTCTACACACCGGAGGGCCTTAGGGTTCAGCACTTCTGAGAAAGACTGTTGTCTTACTCTGCCTAGGATTTGGAGTAGGCCCTTATTCCCTTCTTTGGGGGGTTAGTTAATTTAGGCTCCCTTATAGCCCCCTTTAAACCAACAAAGGCACCCTTGTTATTCCTACAGTAGGTTACTCCTGGGTCTAGATGCCCTACTATGCAGGGTTTATAAGACCCCAGGCAGACAAGAAAGACTATGCCAGCTGCACCGAGAAGCTGAAGAAGCATGGGTGGTACGTTCCTGCAGATGCTGCGTACGTCGAGTATGCCCGCCACCAGGAGCAAGAGCGCAAGAGCCAAAGAGCCGACAAAATTCAGAAACATGCCTTGAAGCATCATATGAGGATCTGTGTAAGGGGTTGTTGAGATCCCCGACTAGGGATGTAGGTTCTCTTCCGTGCAGGAGCTGGTGCGTTGTGTGGACTTTGCCAACAAGCCCTCGGGGGAGAGGCGACCAACGGTTGAATCCCCTCCTGTTCTATCTTTTCTATTTTTGCTTTCCTTGCGATTATTGATATTGTTGTCACTATACCCAAAACAAGGTACCGTGCAGACGGATACAGTACCATTTTTGGCGGGAGTTGAGGGGGGGGAGTAGATTGTGGGTTTACTTTGTTTGGCTGGTTCGTAGGGGTTTAGGATTTAGGGCCCGTCCATTTCAGGCTTGAGAGTTTGGGGTTGAAGGTTGAGGAGGTCGATACTCGAGGTGTTCAGCAGTTAGAGGAACGCGGAACCCTAAACCCTAAACCCGAGCCCCTAGACCCGAAAGCCTAAACCCCACAACCCTCAAGGCGCCTCAAAGTACTCTTGGCTTGTTTTGTTGGGGAGCTCGGGGGCTCAGGGTTTGGACGGGTGGGTTGGGACTCTGGAGCTTGCCATGTTGCATTTTCATTTATCTTTTTCCTTTTTTGTGGGGGAAGGGGGGGGGGGGAGGTCTTTTGGGGTTTCATATGGGCTTAGGATGCTTAAGGCGTGTTTTAATTTGGGAGAGAGGGGGAGGCCTCGTAAGGTTCATATTAGGGGTTGAGAGGAAGTGGGGACGGTCAGGGCCTTTGTTTGAACCCTAAACCCTAAACCCTAAACCCTAAACCCTAAACCCTAAACCCTAAACCCTAAACCCTAAACCCTCTTCAAGTCGGGGAGGCAGGATGATGACCAGCTCTACGTGGGCTGCTACGTCGGCAGCGCTGATGGGAAGTTCAGCGCCAAGGTGGCGGCGGCCTCGAAGATCTTGGACTTCCCCTTCAGAGGCTGGTTGGTAGGGTTTAGGGTTGAGGGTTTAGGGTTTAGGGTTTGGAGTTTAGGGTTTAGGGTTTAGGGTTTTAAGGGTTTTTAGGGATTTTAGGGCTTGCAGGGTTTGTAGGGTTTGTAGGGTTCGTAGAGTTTGTAGGGTGCAGGGTTTGTAGGATTTATTGGGATTAATCAGGGGTATCTTAAGACGATTACTTAGGGTTGAGCGATTTTGTGGGGTGTAGGGTATTCAAGGCGCTTCCTTCGGGAATTTGAGGATTTAGGGTTCAGAGGGTGTGGGTATTCAGGGCCCTTGGTGTTGGGGACCTTGCGTGGTTCTTGACAAACTCTGGCTGGGACGTGAGCGGGATCCTTTGAAGAATTAGACTGTGCTACTATAAGCCTACATATTATACTTAGCAGTCGAGCAAGTGAACCTTGATCCACCTCTTGGATCGCCCAGTTATGCCCCTGTTCCCCTTTTCGGGGTGTAGGTTTTATGGACCCCGTGAGAACCCAAAAATAGAGGGCTTCCTTTCTTCATTGAAGGTTGCTGGGCGAAATTATTATGCAGCACCAAAGGGCCTCCGCACTGGCAGTGCCGGGTTCGGGGGCCACACAGGAATCCCAAGAGTTCGTAGGGTTGCGGTTTGAAAGTGCGGGCTTGCAAAGCCGTGTGGAGGTCTTTCTGTGCACCGGGTCGACAAGCTCCCAGAGATACCAAGTTTCTGCATCGGCGTCATCACCGGTCGCGCGGGCAGTGGCAAGAGCTGCCTGGTGCGAGCGCGATTCGGCAGCCCGCCGGAGGTGGGAGCAGGAGGTTTAGTCAGAGTGTCCCTGCGGCGGCTAGATTCTGAGTTTGGGAGGCGCCACATGCTAAACCCGAAACCCTTCAGAGAGCAGTGGAAGCTCTTGAGCTGCAAGAACTGCGCAGCTGCAAGCCGAGCGGAATCCAAAGAAGCCGAATCCCCTTCTCCCTCAATATCCCACAAGCCTTCAATCCTAAGGCCCAAAAACCCTCTAAAATCACAGGGAGGGTGAGGAGTCTCCGAGAAAGGTTCTCACCCTGTTGGCAAGCCTTGAACCTCCCAGACCCCAAGCTCCCCACCCCTAAACCCCCCAGTAGAGCTTTCGAGGTGGCGTGGTCCTCATCCGAGACGGTGGTCGCGCACTTCCCCACCCTTGTGCGCGCGCGGGAGGTGTGCCAGGCGGCGCACTTGGACCTGCAGGCGGCGCGGCCCGGGGTCGGTCTTTAGGGCGTATAGGGGCTTACTTCTTGTAAATGCCATCAAGACCCCCCCCCCCCCCCCCCCCTTGAATCCTTCAAACCCTAGTTGATTCACAAAAGCAAGCACCACAAGCACAAGCCGTCAAAACGCCCCCGAAACCCTCAACCTAGACCCTTAAAACCTTAAACCCTAAACCCCAAAACCTTCAAACCCTTAGACCCAAAACCATCCAAAACCCCTAAACCCTAAAACCCTAAAGCCTAAACCCTAAAGCTAAACCCTTAAAACCCTAAAACCCTAAACCCCTAAACCCCCAACCCCAAACCCATAATTCCTATACCAAGAGGTGGCCATGCAGCCCTATGACACGCTGAGCGGCGGCGAGAAAGCGCGAGCGGACATGGCCAGGAGTCCCTGCGAAACTCACTTTGGGGGTACATGGCTCTGTGGTTAGTTCGGTATCACCCCCCTGAAGGAAACTCTAATCCTTCAACCATAAACCCTAAACCCTCAAGCTATGTTGACCTAAACCCTAAACTCTAAACCCTCAAGCTATATTGACCTACTTACAACCCCCGGTTCTTAAGTTGCCACGGTGTTGAAAGAGTTTCGGGGTCCAGTCCAGCGGGCTTCCTTCTTCCTTGGCCTCAGCCCACCACGAACTGCCTCATTTTGCTTCTGCTGGGAGCCCTGAGCCTCATAAGCCCTAAACCCTAAACCCTAAACCCTAAACCCTAAACCCTAAACCCTAAACCTAAATGGTTGCGATGTGCGACGGTAGTCCAGGATTCTCTCCAACGCCTTGGACAAGAAGGAGTCTCAGGCTTGGCTGGGTGCTTGGGGTTTGAGAAGCTTAGCAAACTTACTTCTCCAACAGCTGAACTTTAAACTTTTTGGGTTTCCTTCTTTAGTAGGAATAATAAAGTTTAACCTTTTTTTCCTTTGGTTATTGGAGAAGTAAGTAAATGGCGGGGTGAACTGAAGATCTTGTTCCCGAGGATGAACACGGGAAGCCAGAAGCCAAACTTAGACCAGTGAAAACATGCTGGGCATGTTGCTCATTCGTGATGCGGCCAACCTTGCACAATCCAAGATCTGCATAGCTAGCACCGTTTCCGGAACTCACTACCTTGCCTCATACATAAATGGCTGTAACAATCTATATCCCCGTTGGGAATTGTTTTGTTAAAATCTTTTTGTTTATATAAAGCCCAAGAGGACATTTTTATTAAGGTTCTAAGGGGAGTATAGCAATGGGTTTGCCAGCCAGGCAATCATACTCGAAGAGTTTACATCTTTGGTGGACCGGGAGACGGCTTTCCACATGGCCAGCGGGCTGCAGCGCCTCGTGACCCAGCACGGCTTAACGAGACTCAGATGTTTAGGGTTCAAGTGGGTTTAGGGTTTAGGGTTTAGGGTTTAGGGTTTAGGGTTTAGGGTTTTCGGCAAGGGAACCTTGAAGACTTCCTTTGGGTACCAGAAGCCCCCTTGGAACCCGAAGGTTGACTTTGATTCAGTGAAGTCACTAAGGAGAGTGCTGGTGGTCTCCTGCCACTCAGACTACGTCATGACGGCGCTGCGGCCAGACTGGGTCTTTGAGTGCGACAGGCATCGCTTTCTGACGTTTCCCCCGCGTGCCGCGACTGAACATGGCGTGGCGGAGCCCACGGTGCCAAACCTCATTCAGGCCAAGCCTCTGGATGATGTTTTGGCATATGTGCAGAAGCATCTGGGTGCTGCTTATAAGGTTAACAGTCTTAGGCTACATGGAACGTATTCTGGGGGTACAAAGTTACATTATAGTTTAGTGTTGGGTTTTCCCTGTTCATGATAGCTTCGAGTTGAAGCTCCCAGCAACCCAGGCATTGTGCCCATAGGCCCGCGGAGGCTCCAGAGGTGCTGGGGATCCCAGGGCCTTTGCGCAGCAGAGCTGGCGACGGTCTGGAGCTCAAGGTCCGGCGCGCGCTGCCTTGCGACTTAGGGGTACTTGGAGATAATTTTTAATTATTGGGTACCATAATTCCTAAGAAACAGCATAAACATTAGTTTTTGCTAGGGTTCCAAGTTCAGTATAGGCGAGTGGCGCCACTTCAGGGAGTTCCACTACAAGGACCCCTCCCTGAACGGAATGTCCGTGCGCCTTGCCTCAGCAGCGATGTTTTTTTGGTTTCCGGATTGCCATATTGCACGTTTAAGTCAGCGTCCTGGCAGCAAGAGTCTTAAACCCTTAACCTGAAACCCGAAACCTTAAATCAAGCATCCTCTTTTTGTTTGGTGAACACGGAGGTGCTTTGTGGGCCTCATCGCCGAGACTCCGGTTGCCTTCTGCGCCGTCCAGCTGGAACCCGTGAACTTTTTGCAGAAGAGCGCCTTGGTAGATGTATGAGTAGTACACTTTACAGGGTTTAGGGTTTAGGGTTTAGGGTTTAGGGTCTTTTTGGGATACTATAATCCCCTATGGAACTGAAAGTGTGCACTGGCACTTTTGGGGGGCTTATGAACTCAGCAACTGAGGCGCCCTGGCCAATCCGGACGACAACCCTGCCTATCCTGACGAGCAGCTTGGGATGAGTCGTCGGATTGAGGGTTTCTTTATTTTTTGGGGTTTAGGGATTAGGGTGTAGGGTTTAGGGTTTATACAGAAAAGTTTGGGCAATGCCCATCATCGGCCCTATGCCAGAAAACGTGAAGAGCTTTGCTTCTCCCTCAAGGTCTGTAGATAGTTCTCGCAGTTCAAACGAAACAAACGGCTTGAAGGACTAAAGGATCGATCCTGCTGCCAGGGCCCTGGGGGGAAACACCGGGCTTTTGTGAGCGAACCCTAAACCCTAAACCCCAAACCCCAAACCCTAAACCCTAAACCCCTAAACCCTAAACGCTATTGGGGTGTTACGAGCACAGGGTTCAGGTTTTGGCCTTCTGCAACTCCAAAGCCCAAACTTCAGAGTCGGACTTGGGATGTTCCCCCTTATGCTAACGGTCCCTAGTGGGGATGGTAATAGGGGTTACTTTCATCCCCATTCAAGAGCTATTAGTATACGGGGGAACAGCCCTAAACCCTAAACCCTAAACCCTAAACCCTAAACCCAGGAGCTATTAGTATAAGGGGGGAGCATCCCAAGTTTGGGCCCCAGGTGGAAGCAGCAAGACGGCCGGCGGCTCTACCGTGAGCACCGGGCCGTCGTGCTCCCTCAAGCGCAAGGCCCAAGGATGGGGGTTCAGGGTGTAGGGTTTAGGGTTTGGGGGGGTTTACGAAGTTAGGGGGCACCTACCTGAGGTCCTTATTTTAAGGGGATCCTACTGTTTGGGGGTCTATATTGAGGGTCCCCTATTTTCGTAAGGCCCCCCCCCCCCCCCCACGTCAAGTGGGGTCGAGGTTATCCTAAACCTGGTCTGAGCCCTTCACGCACGCGACCTTTTTCCTTCCGTCCTCAGCCTTAAGCCCCGAACTAAACCCCAACCCTTCCACGGAAGTTGAACATGTTCGGAGGCCCCGGGTGAGGGGGAAAGGATCGCACGAACTTGAAATCTGCAATCGAGTCCCCAAGCCCTACCTCGAGTCTCTTACTTTGTCCCTAGTCTTGGGGGTGAGTCCTTCTTATGAAAGTGCACATCTCAATGTTTGTTTTCAAAACCAACTGTCACAGCTGCTGGCACGGGGACTGAATAGTGGCATGACCATTCCGTTTCGGGCAGGCATCGGCGTTGCGTCGACACTTTGTGACGCCATCGCGCGCCTGCCTTGCATGTTGGGGGGTTTCCGAAAATCGGGCTCGAGATTGGCCTAGTGTTCTCGTTCCGGGCGCACCATGCTCTGGGAGGTTCTGAGCCACCATGCCTCCAAAAAGTGTAAGGTTCAACTAGTGGCGAAGTAAGAAGGGGACTCAGGGTTGCACTTGGAGGGTCGTGGCCAGTTCTGCTTCGTAGAACTTTTATGAGACCCTCCTCCTCAAATGCCTGTCTTACTAGGCCTCACATGTCATACAAGGAGCCAGACTCTTTACCTTGGACCCCAACAAGACCCTTTAGAGGGTACCATTAAGGGGATTCTATTCTATATTTGGGGTATAGAGCGGGGTACCCCTATCTAGGGAAATACCGCGGCGTCCGCCTGGATGGCTGATCCTCCATAAGATGAGTGCGTAGCGCGCAGACCCAGGTACTTCATCCACAAGTGCGGTGCCGACTTTACGTCGCGAGGCGAAACTGTGCTGAAGCCAGGCGTTGCGAGAGCCCTTACCCAGAAATGTTTGGAGGTGGACGTGCGTCCAGGCAGAAGAGTAGATTGACTGAGTGGAGAACCTGTGTAAAAGCTATCAACTTAAGAAGCTTTGAGTGTTACTCAAAGGCGGGAATGTAGGCGTGAGCTGCTGTTCAGCAGTAGAAAACCAGACTGGAATGTTCATCAAGATCAGAAGAGCCAGCTCGGGTGTGGGATGCAGGAGGCCGGTAGGGCAAGGTAGGACTTAGCAGGTTGTTGATTCGGGATTCTGGTATCCTAGAACTATATACCTCCTCACTACTCTTCTGGCTACAACCCGAAGACCACATGCCCAGATCCCCAAAACCACGCCCTGCCAAGGTCCCAAACCGTGCACCCGCACTACGGCTCTTACCGGGACCGCAGGCCGTACTGGGAGCAGCTCCGGGGCAACCGCAAGGAAGAGGCGCCACCACGATGTGCCTCAAACTTGCGAACCCCAAGAGCTTCCTTAAGCCTGAAGGCCCTTAACCCTAAACCCCAAACCCTAGACCGGAAACCCTAAACCCTAAACCCTAAACCCTAAACCCTAAACCCTAAAACCCTAAAACCCCTAAACCCCTAAACCCCTAAACCCCTGAAGCCATAAGACCCTTCAGGGTTTAAACCCTTCAGGGCTCATAGGCTTCATCGACTCTAAGGGTTTGGGCTTCTTAGGGTCGTTGCATGGTCCCTTAGTATGGACCCTTTACATTCTTTAAAGAACTCTGGGACTGTCTGGCCTCTTTATGCTCCCACTTGAGAATGTTCCTATCATGGTTTAGGGTTTGGGGTTCAGGGTTTGAGTCATACAGGCCTCCAAGAATACGTTCTTTTGCGAAGGGGTATTGGGGCCTCGGGCTTCAGGGCCGGGGAGACTTCACAAGCACCTTATAAACCCTCTAAACCCCATGACCCTAAAGCCTAAGTCAGACCAGAGAGAGAAGGCCTGCTGGGCCCCAGCAGGCTGCGCCACTGCCAGCTGAACCCTACACCCTCCCCAACCCCAAACCCACCCTTACTAAGGGCCTTTGAGGACAGTTTTCGGGGCATCTTGCCGAAGTCCCTAAGCCCCAAAACCCTAAGCCCCTCAACCCTAAAACCCCTAAGCCCCGAAACCCCCCTAAAACTCCTAAACTCCTAAACTCCTAAACTCCTAAACTCTTTAAACTCCTAAACTCTTTAAACTCCTAAACTCCTAAACTCCTAAACTCCTAAACTCCTTAACTCCTAAACTCCTAAACTCCTAAACTCCTAAACGCCTACCCTAAACCCTAAACCCTAAACCCTAAACCCTAAACCCCGTAATTACCCTATAAACCCCTAAACCCCCTTAGAAGCCAGGCCTCCGTGAATGGCAACCTCAAGTTCTCGCATTGGTTCACCGGGCCGCGGGATGCCGCCGCTGGGCGCTGTCTAGGGGGCTTTAGGGTTTTTAGGGTTTAGGGTTTAGGGTTTAGGGTTTGGGGTTTAGAGAGTTTATAGGGTTTATAGGGTTTATAGGGTTTAGGGTTTATAGGGTTTATAGGGTTTATAGGGTTTATAGGGTTTATAGGGTTTATAGGGTTTATAGGGTTTATAGGGTTTATAGGGTTTAGGGTTTAGGGTTTATAGGGTTTATAGGGTTTATAGGGTTTTTAGGGTTTTTAGGGTTTTTAGGGTTTTTGGGGTTTTTAGGGTTTAGGGTTTAGGGTTTAGGGGCTCTTTTTTAAGGGGGGTGTAGGGGAGTTTTGGGGTGTTTAGGGGTTTTAGAGGGGGGTAGTAGGGCTTTAAGGGAATTTTTTTTGGGGGGGGGGGGTTCAAGGTTAAGGGGGTGGGGGGTTTTGGATGTGTGGTTTTGGGGGTTTAGCTAGGGGTTCTAGGGTTTTAGGGCTTGTGCCAACCTATGAGTACATTTTTAAGAGTTTAATCTTGAGGTTTTCGGCTTTCGGCCTTTTAGGTTTTCGGCTTCGGGCTTGGTTTATGATGTGGGGATTAGGAAGACTTACTTTGCTTATTGTTTTGTTCAGGCTCTTTTGGGCCCTAAGCCCCAAGCCCAACCACAAACCCGAAAATCCCTCAACCCTTAACCCTTAACCCTAAACCCTAAACCCTAAACCCTGAACCCCGAGTTCCTCCCAGGCTTCGCAGCTTCAGCTGCAGAAGATCCGACTCCCGGACGGCCTGGAGCTTCCAGCCTGATCCCGACATCCTGGACCCCCGGGGGGCTCTCAAAAAAGGGGCACGTATACCCTAGGTGTTAAGTCCCTAAACCCTAAACCCTAAACCCTAAGCCTTAAGCCCTGAACCCTAAACCCTAAACCCTAAACCCTAAACCCTAAACCCTAGACCCTAAACCCTAAACCCTAAACCCTAAACCCTAAACCCTAAGCATCGAAGAGGTAGGGGGGCATCCCCGCGCGGTCCAGGGACATTGAAACCTCGAGTCGGGCGGATTCCGCTGACGCCTTCCTGAGACTCAGAGCCTGGACTCCCACAGGGGGGGGGGGTTGAGGGTTTAGGGTTTAGGGTTTAGGGTTTAGGGTTTAGGGTTTAGGGTTTAGGGTTTAGGGTTTCGGGTTTCGGGTTTAGGGTTTCGGGTTTCGGGTTTAGGGTTTAGGGTTTATTGTTGGTAGATTCTTTAATGTTTTTTATAGGGCTATAGGGTTCCATGGGGTTTTGATAAGGATTCTTGTGTGTTACTTTTTAGGTAGTGTAATTCCTAAGAAACAGCTAAAATGATAATTTTTGCCAGGGCTTCAATTTCAGTATGGGGACTCTCATGGGTGGGGGTGAGTGCTTGGGAGATGGTTTAGGGATTTCTATAGGGCTTTACGGTTTCTATAGGGTTTCTAAAAGGTTCCTAGAGGGTTTCTAGGGGCTTGTTGGTTTGAACTGGTTTTTAGGGCTTGAGGGACTCCAGGACGTAGGGTTTTTAAGGGTTTAAGGGTTTCAGGGGTTTAGTTCATTTTTGTTTTTTTTGTTTGGGGGTTTTAAGGTTGAAGGGCTTTTAGGGTTTTGGGTTCAGGAATGAGTGGGCTGTTGTTTTACTCGTCTGAAGGGGGTAAGGTTCCCGTTGCGCTGGGACCTTCTGGGGTTGAGGATTTAGGGGTTCCGGGTTTTAAGGTTTGTGTTGGTTTTGAATTGTGGGTTTGGGTTTGTGGGTTTCGGGTCTAGGGTTAAGGTTTAGGTTTGCGGGCTCATTCTTGGCGGTTCATGGGGTAGTGGATCCCAAGCATGGCTATCACCAGCTACAACTTTGCAGTTCCCAGTTAGAAGTGACGGAGCGACTCTAACTTGCCAAGAATGGCGCAAAACCCTAGATTTCCAGAAAGCTCTGTGCCTAAACCCTGAACCCTAAACCCCAAACCCTAAGCCCTAAACCCCCAAACCCTAAACCCTCCATCCCCCCAAGCCCACATGACCTCAAAGCACTCTAACCACCGATGTTCCAGGCTCATGGGGTATTGCAGCCATAGGGGCGCTGTCTGGGGGTCTGCAGCAGGATTTCGGGGCAACCTTAACCCCCAACCCAAGGCCCAAAGAGCGCATCACCTAACCCCGAAACCCCAAGCCAGAGAGTCCTGGCCCCTAAACCTTAAACCCTAAACCTTAAACCCTAAACCTTTAACCCTAAACCTTAAACCCTAAACCCTAAACCTTCAAACTCCAAAGCCCCAAGCCCTGCTGTGTTGGGGTGCTCACATCACGCGCGGGACATTTGCAAGGCTCGAAGATCTGAAGATGGATCCCTAAACTCCCAAGTGACGTCGGGTTCAACCCCAGCCGTGATTCCTAAACCCTCGACCCTACGGCAGTTTTGGGGGGAGGTTTACTAGGAAACGCATTTTGTTTTGTTTATTTAAGACCCATGGGAATATGTGAGACTATGCGTTGTGTCCTGAAGGTATCCCGCGCGTGCCTGCAAACTGCCTAGAAATGTTTGCAGTTTCAACGAAGTTGGTAATGCCGGGCTTTTGCGTGATCTGACTTGTAGCTCGCTTGCTTCCCTCAGCCCTAAACCCTAAGCCCTAAACTGTCAGACTGGAGCCCTGTCGCCACGCAGGTTTCCCTAAACCCTCAACCCTAAACCCTAATCCCTAATCCCTAAACCCGCATTTGCTGCTTTCACATAGTGTTGAGCCCCTCATGTCTGCATTGGGGAGCATGCAATGTGAGACTACCCAAGCCCTAAACCCCGCAACCCCCAAACTGAGCTTGAAACCCTAAACCTTAAAAACCTTCAACCCGAAACCCCATGTTTAGGCGCTAAAATGGTGTAGAATTGAATCTTCAAAGCGCCCGGTCCAGGGCTTAAGGATTTGGCTTGCAAGGTCCGAGCTTCTATGATCTACACAGGATCTGAGGTTTAGGACGCCTAAGTTGGGATGAAAATCATTAGGGTTTAGGGTTCAGGGCTTAGGGTTGGGATGTTCCCCCCTTATACTTGCAGTCATTAGTAAGGATTATAGTACCCCCGATTATAATCCCTATTAAGGACTGTTAGTATAAGTGGGAACATCCCAACTTATAATATGTTTTACAGCGTTTACAGGGTCATGGCTTGGGGTGCGCGAGCTGCAAGTGAATGCATCAGCTGCCTAGTCTGGCAGACACTGTGCTGGCGGATGGTTTGCCACGGTACGGGTTTTAGCGATTTTCGGGTCAGGTTTCTTCAGGATTTATGCTCTTTGCTGCGCCTGCCACGGTGAGGGGGCGTGGGTATAGTTCTGTACACGTCCCGGTCAAGGGCCGGCCCTGTCCGTTCCAACCGAACTTTCAAAACTTTATAATCTGGGGCGATTCAGGCGATTTCCCAAACCCTGCTGTTCAGCGAAACTCCAAGCAGTCAATCATGCTACCAGACATGGTCCCCTATGCCCTAAAACCCACGACGGGGCCGGCATCTGAGGGCTTATTCTAGGTGTCCCAAACCCCTAGGCAAGGCCCCTATATTTCAAACCCGCCCTAAAACCCTAAAACCCTAAAACCCTAAAACCCTAAAACCCTAAAACCCCGAACCTTCATCTGCTCCGCATAGGGCATCCCAAGTACAAGGCAACTTCATAATCTGGGGCTTGGGAAACTCCAGCGGCCTTGGGGTAAGGCCATCCTGGGTCGCAGCATGCTGTTGGGCGCGAGTGCAGTTGGGGGGAAAGATGCGCGAAGAAAAGCCCCATTCTCTCCTAAGCTCTCAACCGCAAGCCCTAAACCCTAATCCCTGCCGTGTCCTTCAGCACCGGCACCGCTTCAGCTAAGGGTTGGAGGCTATGGAGGCTGACTGTGTGTAGGGTCCAGGGTTTCGGGTTTAGTTCCCGGGGTTGAGAGTTTCGGGTTTAGTGAACAATTCTGAGGGATGCCCCACCGCTAAAGCCCGGAACAAAGTGGATATCATATTGAGCCCTAGAACCCTATGTAGGACCCTTCAGAAGCCTCGAAGTTGAGTGTCCTTGCGGACCAAATGGACCCTAAACTTGTGGTCATCTTCCCTGTACTACTATCATTCCTATAAAGGTCATATGAACCCATAGACCCTTTTAGGGTTCATGTCGTTTTGTAGGGTTAGGATACGGGCGACCCACGAAGCTTTTGCCGCAGCAGCTTGGAACTCAGCTTCGGCCCAGTCGGTGAATCTTGGGGCTAATGGGAGTTGTTGTGTTGGTAGGGTTCAGGGTCTAGGGTCTAGGGTTTAGGGTTTAGGGTTTTAGGGTTAGGGGGTCCGGTGCAGGGCTTTTTGAGATTTGAGGGTCGGTTTAGGGATTTAGCATCGGTTTTGGGGGTTCGGGTTGCTTCAGTTAGGGTTCGTGGTCTCGGTTCCCATGTGAGGGTAGCCCAAGCCCCGCCCACGTAGAGCCCATGACGCTCACGATGCTGCGGCTGACCGCGCTGCTGGGATGGAATTGTGACCATGCCTGTAGTTGCAAGGTGAAAGTTTGGGGTTTACTCTCTGCTGATGTGCGAAGGATCTGGGGATGTAGGGCTACACTGAGCTTTAGAACTTTAGAGAAGCTTTGGATGACAAGCGCACCAACAGTTGACATGATATGTCGGTCATTACAATTTCGAGGAAGAGTTGTGCAAAAATGATATAGCTAAGCTTTGCTCGCAGGGTTTAGGGTGTTCACCCAAACGCTACCAGGAAGTCCTTCCAGGAGATTATACCCCAAAGAGGCCGCAAGTAAACCCCAAAGCTCCAAACATTAAGCCTTAATCCGCTAATCCCGATAAATCCCTGCACCGAAAATCCTGCACCCTCAGCCCAGAAGCCCTCGACCCAAAAACCCTACAAAACCCAAAGCCCTAAATGCTGTAAACCCTTAACCCGAACTAGAAGCCACCCAAGAACCCTTAACCCTAAACCCCAAGGATTCTTCCGGCGTGGGCTACCGGCTCGCTGCTGAATGTGGCCGCAAAGGGTGGCGACGTGCTGGAGGCTAGGGGCGGAATCTTGGGGAGGTGGGGGAGGGAGGGGTTTAGGGTCTAGGGTCTAGGGTTTAGGGTTTAGGCTTTAGGGTTTAGGGTTTAGGGTTTGTCCTTTTTGGGGGTAAGAATCAAGTGCTCTCTGCATTACTAGACTGAGACCAAAAGGGAGTATAATTTAGAGGGCTGACCGCATCTGCGTTGCGTGTCGCGCTGTCCAGTCCTGCGAACCGAGATTTGGAGCTTTGGGGCTTAGGGTATCTAGGGGCTAAGGACTGGGGGTGGTGGTTGAAACTGCTTCTCGCAGCTTCCAAGCCCCAAATGGCTGCTGCCGAGGTCGCGCGACTTCTGGACCAAGCAGGCGTGCTTCAACTCGGAATTATTGGGCTCGAGGCTACAATGTTTAAGGGCGCATGAGAGCCTGCTAGCCCTATACCCTAACGCCTGAGGCCAAGGTCTGAAGCCCAGAGGGAAGGACCAGGAAGTCCCAGCTCCCTTTTCATGCTCTGAAAGCTTTGAGTTAGTTTAGGGTCTACTTGGAGGGCTCATGGGTGCTTATCGGAATGGAGGTGACAAGTAGAGCATGCAAACTGTTGCGCAAGCCCTAAAGCCTAAGCCCTGAGGCCCAAGCCCTTCCAGCATGCATCATGGCTGACAAAAACCACTTTCAAGTCTCTGAAAGGGTGCAGACGAGGTGACCCAAGCTCTTGAGACAAGTGGTAAGAACAGGACTTCTTCGTAGTCAAGTAAGAATTACTGTCACTGTTTAGGGTAGCCATAAA